TACCGCCGCCGGGCTCTTCCCGCCGCCGCCGAGGGCGCGGATCGGGGCGGGGGACGACGAAAGACAACAGGCCGCGCCTCAGGCCCGGCCGGTCCGGCGGGTGTTGGCGGGCAGCGCCGGCCGCGGTCTCTGAGGGGAGGCTGCTGGCGGGCAGGGCGCGGGAGAGGCCGCGGTGCGCCGGGAGCGAGCGCCTTCCCTTTCTCCCTCCTTTTCCCTCCCTTCTGAAGGCAGGAGCGGCTGCAGATCCCTCTCCCGCCCCGCGCAGGAGGAGGCCGTAGGGGACGGGACCCCTCCCGGATGCGGTGGGGAGAGCAGCTCCTTCCCGGCGGCTGAGGGGAACCGCTGCCATTGTTCGGAGATTAATTAAAAAAAAAAAAAAAAGGCTCCGAGCGGTAACAGTTTCTCGGCCGCTCTTTGCGGGGGAGGCAGGACTAGTGCGGATTTATTCTGCAGCGCTGGAGAAACTATCTCCCTTTTTTATGTTGGGTGGGTTTTGGGTCTTTTTTTTTTGGTTCGCTGTTCTCTCCCTAGTCGTTACGAAAGTCGCACGGCGCTTCTTTAGAGGAGGAGCTCTATTTTAGTGAGGAAGTGTGGATGAAATAAACACAACTTCCCTGGATTGCAAGCCGTCCGCTTTTCTAGTTCTTTTCATACCCCTCACCTTTCCCAAAAAGCCTAGTTTCCTACCAAAAGCTGATGTTCCTACCGGTTTTGTGTGCCATCTGACCTGTTTGTGGCTCTTGCACTTCTCCAGGTTGTGTTGCCCCAGATTGCATTGTTCCTGCCCTAGAACATAAATAACTGAGAACAACTGCACTTTCACACCTTTACTGGGCTTACAGTTGTATGTCTGCCTGCCCTACAGAGAACTGGGAAGTAGGTAACAGGTTATGGAAATCACAGTTAATTTGGAAAGCAGCTTATAACTACCTCAGGAAACTTTAATTCTTTAGATATTTATTGATAAAGTAATTCAGAAGATTAGTGATCTCCTGAAGGTATACTATAAAAAAAATGCCATACCAGCGAGCAGATGATGGAGAGGACTGATTTGCTCTTAGTTTGCCTACACGTGAAGGTTTGTCCCTTACAGCTGAAGACCCATTATATGAATTTAAATGGGGATGAACCCTAGGACAAATACCCTTTAGCATAAAAGTACATCTCTTCAGTTTCTTTAGTAACTTGGTTTTGGTTTAATCAGTTCCAGGTAAAACACTGATAGCAAATAAAGTTTTTCAGAAAAAAACTAATTTGAATCCAGTAGTGTTTGTGTAAATTCACGTGTGCAGAAGTCCTCACAGTAGAATAGTTCTGTGCTGTAAGTGTAGTGCAGACAAATACTGCCAGAACAAAAGTGATGGAGGTGCTCTGTTGCACTCACAGGGTCCTGGTCTACCCAGGTTGTGGTTAATATTGATGCTCCCTGTAGCCATGGTGCAAGGAAGGGTGATGGTACAGATGAAGAGAGTCTTGTGGTAATTTGGTTTGGTTTATTCCAGTGGTCAGGAGTCCCTTTTGCTCTTTTTGCTGTATTCACCCCAGTTGCTCTCCTACTGGGGCTGCATTTCTGTAGTCTGCTTCGTCAGTTTGTGATCCTTGCAAGATACAGGGCAGAAAAGTGAGAAGAGGCTGGTGCCCCTTTTCCCTCAGCTTGGCTTTGTTTTGTGGTTGGTCTTTCTTTTGCCCCAAAATTTTGCTGTTTGTTCTTTTCCAAGTTTCATTTTTGTGACTTTCATGTTGTCTCAGGACCTGCTCAGTTGAACTATATTACTTTAAAATAGAAAGTTTTACTGAGAGTGACACCTCTGCACTTTCCCATTTCCTTCTGTCAAGTACGAAAGGTGGCTAGTTTTTACTGCCTACACTATTACTACGTCTGACATCATTGTGATGGGTCCTCTATAAGCCTCTATTCATGAATTACTGTTTCTGATTTGAAGCTGACAGCTTAAATTGGTAAGACGGGACATGGTTCTGCATATCTGTGGATGGCTGAAGATGACAGTTAAGAAAATGCTGTAGGGAGAAAGTGATTTGCATTACTTGTTTGTTTATGTAGTGGACATTTTACGGAATGCCATACTTGTAGGGAAAAATTGCTTTATGTGTAAAGCAATAAGCTGTTGTTTTTTGATTGTGTTGTGCTACGATAATTTGGCTTACCAATATTTGTTCACGTTGGACTACAGGAACCCTTTCCTCTAGTTTTGCCAGTACCAGGGACTGAAAAATATACTGCGTAGCTTAGTTGTTCTGGGTACAGTATAACTGTATTTATACCCAAGCTGGGACAAAACTTTTGTTTGCATCTGTAGTAAATTAAGACTCTTAGGGCCATTTAGGACTTGTGGCTGGATGAGCTGCCTTGGGTTGTTTTATCTTGTTCTGGGCCTCAAGGTACTCATCCTTGAGGCTCTTCGGGGATTTCTTTTTTTTTTTTAATGCCTTTTTCCAGGAGAAGGGAGGGTGGAATGTTCTGCTTGATTAGCGCTTAATGAACCACAGGTTATAAGAGTGAAATAAAGACCACAGAGCCATGGGTTTACAAGCTGGCTAAGATGGATGACAACTGAGAACTGTCTTGGGTTGTATTTAGTGTTGGTTGCAATGAGCTGACTAACTTGACTTGAAGTCTGATCTTTTTAATGAAAATGCATCTTTCCCATTCCATCTGGAGCTCATCAAAACTATGTCTGTCAGTGTTGCCTCTTACTCTTTCATGAATTTACTGTTCATCATTATTGTATTCTTTGTCCTTGGGCTTACAGCTTTACTCAATTTGACTCCCACCAGCTGTATTTATTTTTTTTAAATCATGCTCTCCCTTTTTTTGCGCTTTTTTCCGCCTTTTTTGCGTGCTTTTTTTTGCTCCCCCCCTTTTTTATTTTCAGAACTTGGTTGAGTCATTTTCCATTTTGTTCTTCTAAGCTGGCTTCCCCATCCAGTGGTTTTTCGTGTTTATTTAAAGTCTCGTTTTGAGATGAGAGTCTCATAAACGTAGTACTTCCTGCATACGTTGCTTGTAACCTGTAAGAAATACGTACTGCATGGCATATTTTACTTTGACCATCTCCCTAGATGTTACTCATCTTGCTCTTCAAGAAACAGATCTGTGCTTCACATGAGAACTGCATTATCTGCATACAAATGGCTGAGGCTGGCATTCTCTTGATGGCAGGAGACCGCAGTAAGATTAGGGGCGCTTTAGCAAATATCAGGGTATGTTTTTGTCCACAAAAGCCTAGAGTATCAGTGCATGATACTGAGATAAGGAGGAGCCTGGTGCATGAGGCCAGCTTGGATCTGACTCAAGGTTGCCTGCAACTTTGGCCAGCAAACCCAGTTACTTTCCTGCAGTCATGAAGATGTGACCGTGCGTTGTCAAATTCTCTGATGCTCTGATCAGCTTTGCATTTCCCAAGTTTGTTTTTTCACATAGACACATGCACATAATTAAACAGTAAAAACCTGTTTTTATTATACATATTATATGTATGTATACATATAAAAATCCTTCTGACCAAGCAGAGGATACAAAACAATTTAAGGATTCTAATGCTGTGGAAAAAGCGCTTGCTTTGTTTATACTCTAATGAGTATACTTGCATAGTTGCAATGTAGATATGTCTAAACATGCCTGTAGTGTTCTAGTTTGATATTTAAATGCTAACAAATTAGAAATGAAAGAGTTTTGATTTTGTATTTTGTAACTGGATAATAAAAGTGATTTAGATGGAGTAAGCAGCTAAGAGGCTAATTATCTGGAAACCTCTGTGGCTACGGATTCTTAGGAACGTGTTAGTTACTCTCTTGGCTTCTTATCTGTACCACAGAAGAAAAATTATTTTTTTTGTGTAATAAATAATAAAAGATAGCATTTAATGGCCACATAAACCAGGTTATTAAAAACAGCATTTATATCAGGAGGACAGTTGCCTCATTATGGGAGGGGATGGACATATTGTGGTATAATAAATTTCTACGCAGAAGGACAGAGCTGTCCTGTTCATAAAAAAACATAAGCTGGCAGACCCGCATTTATTATAAAATTATATGCAATAAGGTATTGCACATACTATTTCATCAGTTCTGTTGATCTGCTGAAGGGGGCCTGGGGAAGAGATAACCTTTGTATATTTGCAAATATCAAACTACAAAGAAAACTTGAAACCATCTCATCTGGCGCCTCTTAGCTTTTTTCTAATGCAAACAGCAATATCACCTCCATTTAATTTATACTTTTGACTACTTGTGAATTTTTAGTTACTCTATTTGACAAGCGATCAGATTGCTTAAATTTTAGTGGTGTGCCAGCTGCAGAGCTGAGAGTGTTTGGGCCTGTAGAGTAAACATTAATTTTATGGTCTAACAAACTTGTCCACCATGGTGGATGGTTCTGCCACAGGCAGTGTGCTATTTTAGAAACATCAAAGGCCTGCTGATTTGTTAAGGTTCCTGTGTGTGTTCAGGCAGCTAATCGAAACCAGAAAGATTTTTGCTTATCTCTTTAACGTGTTATTCTTCAGGATCTACAAACTTTAAAAAGTGAGCATGCTAATGTGTATTTAGAGTTTTTGACCCCATACACTGTAACTTGAATTAAAAAAATAAGGGAGAAGCTGGATAATTTGCTTTTTCATAATTGAATGTTTTTTGGAGAAACAATAGCAATTTTTTTCATGAAATTTTATTTAAATCAATTTTTTTAATGTCTTTTTGGAGGTGTAATTTAGTGTTTAACTCTTAAATTGAACAGAGTTGAGCAGAAAAAGCAAGTCTCAGAGATGTATGTAAAGTTTAAAGAAATTTTATTTAAAAAAAAAAAATTAAAAAAATCCAAAACTGCATTTGTAATGGGAGTGACCAGTTCTTCTCAGCAACTCAGAGGAGTATGGCTGCTAAGTTCCAAGAAGAAATTACACTTTTAATTTGTCCCTTCTAGATATGACCGTGATGTTCCATGTGTTTATGGCTTTCATATTTGAATGTTGCAAAACACTGTGAAGGGTAATTAGAATACAAAATACTGAGGAAGGGCTGAGTAACTGGAAGTGTAACAGCTAGTCTGGCATGAATATTTGAGAGCATTATCTTTTCAATACCCTTTTTATTCATCCAGTCCCACTTAATAGCACAGAATGTGGAATCTCAGTCCTGATTTTCCAGAGCAAATGGTCTGGTATTTCAGACTGTGGTCTAGTTAAAACATGGGCTTTGGAAGTGTATTGCTACTCTGAGTCAGTTATAGAGGGGGCCAGAATAACGATGCTGACTTTGTTTCTTAGCATGTTTATCTGTAAGATTGTGAATTACTATAATTGAGTAGAAATAATTTTCCTTCGTGCTTGATGGTCTTCTCTTAACTAAGGAAGTCAGAAGAGGTCCAAAACGATTCCTGGTACGGGCAGAGCATTTGTTGAAATAGCTAAGACTAGAGAAGTAATGCTTCCTGTATTATTTTTCTTACTCTTCTGCATCTGGGAAAGAAGGGTGTGTTTAGGTAAGTTTCCATGGTACACGTATGAAGGAGGAAGGGTTGTGGGATCTTCTGCAACATCCATCGAGACACCTCTCTCCCATCTACACTTGCAGTTGCTGACTCAGATCATTCTTCATCATCTAACCACACACCTTGTTGACAGACTGGTAACTGAATTCTATGCTGATGCAAAACCAGCACGATGTAAGAAGAGATTATAGTGAACAACATCAGGGTTTCTGTTGTGTTTTTATTGATTTAAATTAAGGCACTGATGCTGTTGGGTGCTTTGCCTGGCCCCCGCCCAATTACATGCAGAATGTGCTGCCCTGCTATTTCTCTCCCTCTTCTTTGATGGTGACCTGAAAGCCTATGTGACAGAAACTTGATCTGTTTCAGAGGAGTTTCTTGCCACTAGGGAAGTGCAGCAGAGCTGTGGACTGCTGCCTACTCTGGTATTTTGGCAATGCTGACTTTAGCTTTCTCGGAGGGATAGGTTAGTGTACATCTGCTGTAAGACTGGTGGCTGCCCATTTGGATCTGTCTACCAAGACTAAATTCTGCTTCCCTGGAGTCGTCATCCATACACACAGATGACTAGAATTACTGCATGTTTAGCAGAGGATTTCCTTAATTGCCTTGTGACATCATCCTTAATCTTGCTGGAAGATGTCATGTTTAGGCCTGTCCCAGGCTGTTCTTTGAACCTACTTTCATTAGCTGTGATGATAGGAGGAATCAAACTGAGACAGAGAACTGGACAGACTAGGTGAAAATATGAAACGCTTACTTAATGTAATGATGATAAGTTTATCTTAAGATAAATTTTCTGTTGAAGTTTAGGGTGTATTGGGACAGTGCAGTTTACAGAGGATCAAATCTACTTGATTGACAATGCCAAAACTTAGCTTACTTGTTTTGGTGGGGTTTTGGGTTTTTTTTTCTGTTTTAGCGATACCCTCACTGTATGAATACCAGTTCATAAGGAATGTTTTCTTATTTTCAAGACAGCTGAGCATCTGATGATGGTTGTGGATATATTGGGTTTTCAGTCAAGATTGCTAGCTTTGTAGCCTCTTTTCTGTGGAATCAAACTTGATTCTCTCTAGTCACTATATGTGGTACCTTGAACTATTCTGTCTAGGATGTTTGTGTGGGCTTCTAGATAGAGATTTACAAGATAGTGGATGCTGAAATATCTCCGATATCAAACATGGTGAGGTGGTTTCTGTTCTGGATCAGGGTGAAGTCCAGGAATCCTCTGCAGGCTTTTGAAGTCCAACTTTTGCATGTGGCAAAGCAAGCTATGAAAGTCAGTATGAAAGCTGAAGGTTAACATTAAACACTGCTAGGCTCTCCTAAGCTTTGTCAGACCACTGTTGTTCACTGAGAAGTTATTGCCTTCCTGTCAGTAGACATTTAGATGGTGCCTCTCCCTCACATAGATTGGGCTGTTCGATTGTAAGTGATTGGTAGGATGGTAAAAAAGGATAGCAGTGTCCCATTGTGGAGTTGATCACCATTGAATATGGTGACAGTATATAAGATGAAAAATGGCAAGTATCAAAAGAAGTCTTTGTTTTAAAAATAGTTCCTTAATGCAAATATACAACACCCAGCTTCATTCATGTTTGGAGTTAAGCAATCCTACTGATTAAGGTTACGTTGTATTTTAAAAAAAGTTTTTGCATGTTTTTGTGAAGGAGATTATTATCATTTACAGTCAACATGTTTTACCCTTCTCTTAATTGTCTGTCTTTGGTGATGACAGCACAGCTGTCTCTATAATAAAAAGTAATATGGCTTGGTAGTAGCACATCAGCAGATTGAGGCAGTCGGTGCTTAGGCCCCTCTGTCTACCTAACACGCTGTTTGCATGGTCTACTTCAGATGAAATTTAGTCTGGCTTTTAGGACCAAATATTCCTACCACACTTCTGATTCAAAGCTATCTGAAGGACCACGGATTGATCTTGACCTCTCTGTTCCCATTTAGTAGGTAGGATGCAGTTGTTGAGCACATGAAGCAGAGCTTCTGGAAAGAAACTCGCTTCCATTCCCTCTGAAAGGAATCTAGTTCACTTGGCTGGAGCTGTGCTGTAACCTGTACCAACCCAAGGGAGAAGGGAGTGATTCACTCCAAAACCCCACGCTGCTTTTCTGAACCAAAATGTTCCAGAGGCAGGCTTATGCTGTAGAATAGTCCCTCTGTAGCTCATGAATAAATAAATGTTTAATAAATATAAACCCTTGGGTTTATTAAATTTAATGAAACAAAATAGAATTCTGTCCCTGTCTGGCCCCTCTGTGAATGAGGAGATAAAAATCAAGTTAGGAATGCAGTAGAAATCTGAAAGGTAGAATGCGGAGTTTGTCAGTAGAGTTCTTGAAGCTTGGTCTGTTTACTCTACCAAATGTTTTGATGGAAAAAAGATTTGCTTGAGAAAGAATGTTAGCCTCTCATTTTGCACGTTGCTCATGTCTCTAATTCTGGGAGTAGGGCTTGTGGGATTTTTGGATTTCTGTTTATATTACAAGGGCAAAAGTATTGCAAAACAGTGGCCAGAGGTACTTTTTGTGGATTTTTTTTTTTCTGTTCAGTTTAGAATATAATAGAAGTCATAAGAATTTTATATACTTTAATGTGGATGAAACTGGGGCTTAGCTTTTTAGCGGGAGTGTTGTGTAGATGTTGGATCAGACTTGCCACGTCTGTGGAATGTGGCAGCTGTCACAGCATTTTGTTTCAAGTAAGTTTTAAGAGTGTTTAATTTTAAATATAATCAAGGTGTCTTTTGTATTTTAGGAAGCTGAATATGGTGGACATGATCAGATTGATTTATATGATGATGTAATTTCTCCATCTGCGAATAATGGAGATGCCCCAGAAGATCGTGATTACATGGATTCTCTCCCACCATCTGTTGGGGATGATGTAGGTAAAGGAGCTGCACCAAATGTTGTCTATACATATACTGGAAAAAGAATTGCCTTGTACATTGGAAATCTTACTTGGGTAAGTATCCTATTACTATTTAGGTGTAGCCAGGAGTTTTATAATTATGAACATAGTTCTTTGTAAATATTTTTGGCTTAAAAATTGTTTTAAATTAAGAGTACAGCAAAGCAAGTGGGTTTTTGTTGTTTTGTTTTTTTTTCTTTTACCTGAAATTTAGTAAGCCTGTCTGGAGCTGTCTTGATGTCTAAAAGATCGAGGAAATCTTCAGTAAATATGAACTTTAAAGTTTCCTCTTGTGTTTTAACTGTTATGAAGGGGTATTTGTGCTACCACTTTCTTAAGGTTTTCAGAGAGCTGAATGAAAGAGGAGAACAAGCTTAAATTATCAAATACTTTATGTCTGGAGATACTTAAGACTACTGAATGAACCTATTTTTCAGTAAACCCTTGCTGAAGTTTTTAGTTTAAAAACGAACTGGAAGGTTCTCAGGGATTTTCTTGAAATTACTTTGCGCCTTTTTCCACTTCCCTTTTTCCAGGGCAGTGACTCTTCCAACAAAACTGTTTGCAGGTATTTGCCTTGAGGCTTATTTCTGCCGTCCTAGGAGTAACAGGTTTGGGATAACTCAATGAACTGCAGTTGCCCTTAAGACAATTACTTTTGTTAGCATTAAAGCATTTAAAAATCAATTGCAGTTAGGCAAACAAAGTGCAAGAGCTGGTCAGTAGCTGAACTAACTGGAGTTTATATCTGTTTACGTGAAATCAAATTATTGCAAGTCCACACATGAAAAGTTCTCATTCAAGGCTTTTTCGCATCTGATTAATTTCTTCCTAGTGCTAAACTTGGAAAAGAATGCTGTATGGGTGTTTAGGTGTCTTTTCATTGCTTATTACAGTATCCTAATTTCAGGAGCTAAACAGGTAAGTAAAGGAGCACTTGCCTTAACAGTTGTACCATTCTAAAATATACAAATGGAATTAGTAAAATGCACATGAATTAGCTGAACTCATCCAAGTCAAATGTCACAATTTCTAAAGCAAGTGGCCCAATGTGCAGCAGTTTGTACCTATTACCCATTATTAGGCTTAACAAATGAAATTATCCACAAAAAGTGCATTTATTTACTTTAGCATTGCTATTGTGTTTGTTTTCTTTGTGTTTAGCTCTCAGGAAAGTAATTTGTTGAATTTTTGAAAGAAATCTTGGTTTGAGAGAGATCAGATAAGCAGTTCAGAATCTTGAAAGCCTGCTTTGCACTTCCCATATGAAATTTAAAGAGGTGATGGAGTTACAGAACTAAGAAGAAAACCATAATTATTGGTGTATTTGCGTATCTTCAGATATGAGTGAAATTGTTAAATGGTGCATAGTAATTAATAGGAAGTTACAGCAAGTAGGTTTGGTTAAGTGGAAGCAGTTGTTTCTAACCATAGTTTCTGTACCAGTTTCCCTTCTTTTGTCTGTAAATCCTGCTATATTTGTGCAAATAATATGTAGTTCACTAAACTCTGATTAGTCAAAGCTCTCACAAAGCACCTGGTTAATACGGCATTTTAAATTGACTTTTTTGTAGAAATAATAGAATCAGTGGGAGAAAAAATGGATCGGGTGTGGAAGAAGTAAGTTACTGAAATAGTTCAGTTGAAGCCTTGCACTCTCAGAAAACAAGTTACTCAAATACAAATGTTTTTTTTGTATACTGTGTGGAGGAGTTGATGCAATGTAGCATATGGGGAAGTGTGTATATTTTTAAAACTAATTTTCTGAGAATTGTAAAATATAAATGACTGTTCTCCAAAAGTCAGAAAATATTGACAGCCTGAATAAAGTATTCCTCTTGACCAATTTCACACACAAAAAAAAAGGCATGGAAGACTTAGTTGACGTTTTCATGGTGTTTTAGATAAGCTTTCATAGCTTAATATTAAAAATATTTTTCAGTGGACAACAGATGAAGACTTAACTGAAGCAGTTCATTCACTGGGGGTAAATGATATTTTGGAGATAAAATTTTTTGAAAATCGTGCTAATGGCCAGTCTAAAGGGTAAGAACTTGTCATTTGTTTTTTTCTGTAAATGGACTGAAGTTTGGGAGGGTGGAGAAGGGGAAAGAGTTTCAATTTTCATAACTGTCAGTATGTGAACTGATAATGTTTGTTTATTTAACAATGACTGGGTGTATAATTTCATACTAATGACTTAAATTTCAGGCGTGTAATTTTTTATGACGGTGTTGCGTGTCTCACTAATTTGTGACTTAAATCTTGTTGGCACTCTTCATTAAGATTCTAGTCCTAGATTTCAGTTCGTGTGGTGGTGATATTTGTTGTTCCTCATAGTGTAAATAGTGTTCCCCTAACCTCCATTACTATATCTTTCTTTACGTGCTTTATTTTCCATTAACTGTTGAAAGTGAGCGCTTGAGCCCATTTTTCACTGGCAACCTAATCTTCCTTGCATGAATGTGCCTTTCTCTCTCCTTAGTAATAATGAGAACGCACTGGATGCTTAATAATAACTTGATCATATGAATTAATATATAGTGTATTGATACGCTACCAGAAAGCTGCCTTTGTTGTGATATATTTTGATGCATCTTGTACTTGCACTTGTGGTGGTTCTTGTATGTCCTAGAATGAGTTACTCTATCTGTTCTGAAAACTGGACTAAGACCTGTGAGACAGTTTCTGTATTTAGTTTTCAAGTATTGTTTTGCTTACTGTGTGTAACCTTTTTCATGAGGCATCAGGATATCCAGGAAGTGGAAAAACTGTGGTGTAACTTTTTTTCTTCTTTCTTTCTTTCTTTCAGGTTTGCCCTTGTGGGTGTGGGATCAGAAGCATCCTCCAAAAAGTTGATGGATTTATTGCCTAAAAGAGAATTGCATGGGCAAAATCCTGTTGTGACTCCATGTAATAAACAATTCCTGAGTCAGTTTGAAATGCAGTCAAGGAAAAGTAAGCCTTTCTCATGTACTGTCTTGGAAAAATAGAAGTTTATTCCAAAAGTAGTACTGCAACTTTTTCTCTCGGCATCTGATAATCTCTACGCGGTTTAAAACAGCTATAAAGTACTTCCAGTAAGGTGAATGAAGTTGCAGTTTTGTTTGAAGATGGTCCTCTTAAAAATAAAAATTTAAAAAATCACTTAATGTACTGAGGATCTATTGTTTTGGCAAGAGAGAGCACTCGCTGAAAGAAGGTTGTAGCTTTGTGAAACTCTTGTCTTATGGTTGGAGACACTTTCTCATTTTCTTGTGGATTTCATTTAAAAAAAACCAAACAACACAATAGCATTTAGAAATTTAACATTTCTAGACAAATTGGACTGAATGCTGATGTCTGGATAAGTTGTGCTTCTGACAAAATGGTGAAGAGAGGTACTGTGTTGTGCTTTCCTCCAGCATGTTGTCTTGTGCTTCCCAGTCCTTATGTGTAAATGTGTTCCTTTGTGGCCTTAGGCTGCATTAGAAGGACTGACACTCTCCCCAGGTGCTATTCCATTAGTATGGGGATATTGGAACATTGTCATATTTTAGCAAAGCACTTTTTCCTCCCTGAATAGCTTTGGGTTTGGGTACCGAGAAACAAGTTGGTGCTCATAAGGTCATGCTTTAGTGCTGCATAAAACTTTAGATTGAGTTGAAAAGCTTTAACCTATTTTGATTTATGTAATTACACTTTTGTTTTTCCATTGCAGCCACACAGTCTGGCCAGATGTCTGGGGAAGGTAAAGCTGGTCCCCCAGGAGGAAGCTCACGAGCAGCATTTCCACCTAGTAATAGAGGGCGAGGTCGTTTTCCAGGTGCCATTCCAGGTGGAGACAGATTCCCTGGACCAGCGGGGCCAGGAGGGCCACCACCACCTTTCCCAGGTAAAATAATTCATATATAGAGTTTCAGTTTCATTTGTGTTTTCTTGTATTAATGCAGCATACTTATTTGGGGAATTATAAAGATCAAGGCAATTCAGTAATGTGCTATAATCAGTGTTCACCGCCGGATTATAGGATTTGACAGTATTTCTTTGTTGATATTCAAACAGGGAGTTGTACTTCCTGAATTTCATAGCAATGTAATAACATTTTTTAGAGACATTCTTTATAATGTGTTGATGTACATATTTTTAAAGTATGAAAAAACTAAGATAGATCATGTTAGCAAGTAGACTTGTCTTTAGTGCAGTGTGATTCAGATTTTCTGATTTGCTGTATGTGGTGAGAATGCCTGTGTTGCAGAGCATAAAGTAACTCTGTTCCTTACTGCATTACGGGTTTGCACATCATCAGAAATTCAGCTTTGATTCATGCTTACTGAGAAGTCAGTTAGTTGGTGCTTTGGATACCACAAATTTGAAGAGGAGGTATTAACGTTTAGTCAGGTTTCTGATAGGGGAGAGATCTGTTTAACAATCAGGCTTGCATTGCAGTGAAGTTCTCGTTTCAGCTTAACTAGTTTTAATGAATGTCATTGAGTAGGTTGTCTACTAATAGTCAAAGGGACGTGGTCAAATTGAAAAATTACTAATGAGGACCTGAAAGTAGGTTTGGGTACAGCATTTACCTTACCTTCTCCAATATAGTTTTTCCTATATTTTTTAATATATATTGTATCTTATGCCCCATATGAAAGACTAGCTGCAGGTGTAAGTAGGATGCAGTGTTTTCTAGGTTTTGTAAGCTTTTGGGGGTTTTGATAACAATAGCAGGTGATTAAGTGATTGGCGGGGGTGGGTTGCCAGTTTTCAAGTTAATGTTCTCTTTAAATATTGATAGTCAAGCAACTGTTAAAAATTTTCTAAGCTATTGGACCCAAAGTGGGACCATGCATGTCTTGTGTAAGTTGCAAATTGTTCAGTGGGGTTGATTTTGGTTTTTTGTTGTTTTTGAGAATAAAAAAAAGCAAGATTATTAATGATTTCACTAAGTTTTCTTTCTTTGTATTTATTAACTTTTTTTATTTTTTTTATTTTTATTTTAGCTGGACAAACTCCCCCACGTCCACCTTTAGGTCCTCCTGGCCCACCAGGCCCACCAGGCCCTCCACCTCCTGGTCAGGTCCTCCCACCTCCATTAGCTGGACCTCCTAATCGTGGTGACCGTCCACCACCACCAGTTCTGTTTCCAGGACAGCCTTTTGGTCAACCTCCACTTGGGCCACTTCCTCCAGGTCCTCCACCACCAGTACCAGGATATGGGCCACCACCAGGTCCACCACCACCTCAGCAGGGTCCACCTCCACCTCCCGGTCCATTTCCCCCTCGTCCGCCTGGCCCTCTTGGGCCACCCCTGACTCTTGCACCTCCTCCACATCTCCCTGGGCCACCTCCAGGTGCTCCACCACCTGCACCACATGTGAATCCAGCTTTCTTCCCCCCACCTGCCAACAGTGGCATACCTACTTCAGACAGCCGTGGCCCACCTCCGACAGATCCATATGGCCGACCTCCACCATATGACAGAGGTGACTATGGGCCACCCGGAAGGTGAGTACTTTTGGTGTGATGTGCTTGGTAGCAGATTTTACTCTTGTAGGAAGCATTTGGTTTTCCTTTTTAATGCAAATGTTAAAAATGATGCAAAATAGGGCTGGAAGGGATCCCAGCAGTCACCTAATTTGCCCCTTTTCACTTCTCTCGGTGAAATACCTCTCAGAAGCATGTTTGTAGCAGTAAGAAAATCCTGAAATGCAATACTAGTAATCTCACTTTCCCTTTTCAGCTCTGAATTGTTTGTCTTCACTGTTTGTATTTGGCAGTGTCTTTATTCCATGTGTTCTACATGCAAACTTATATATCGCTTCCTATGCAGCAGCTTCTGGTTGCACTTCTGCCTTAACTTGAAATTCTGACTTGTACCTTTACCACTGTGCTTTGCAAGCTGTCTTTTTAGAATGATCTGGAGCTCTCCTTTTTGAATATGTGTGTATGTTGAGTACAGTGCTATACCAAGCTCATACCATTTTCATCTTTCAGTAGCTCTGCTAGTCCCTTTTTTCTTCCAGATTCAATTCAAAGTTAGTCTTTGTCTCAAAAACCAGGCGTGATTTTACTGCAAGACTTTCATCTTCCTTTTCTGTCAAGATGCTGTGGCTCATTTGGTGCAATCTTGCTATGTTTGTAGCAGTGGCTTTTCCTATGGTTAATCCTATCTGGGACAGAGTTTTTGAGTCTCTCTGACTTGACTTGTCAAGTTTTTCACATCTTGTTTGAAACATCTTTTTCATCTGTGCTTTCAAGTATCTCTGTCTTGCTCCTGTTCATTGGTTTTCACCATATTTGTATTTGTCACAGAACATTTTGGGATAAATTGTAAGAAAGACTTTTTTACATAGTTATGTTTGGATTTTTCAGTTGTGATTTTACTGCTAGCATGAGAGATGCTTCTCTTGCTTAAAATGTTTTCTGTGAAGACACTTTGCTTTGCTTCTTCTTTTACCACAAATTTTAAAAACACCCACGCATCTGTACATTCTGTGTTCCTACAGAAACTATAGAAATTCAAGTATTTGGCTTAATTGTCTGAAATATAATAAAACGATAAGGTGTTGGTTGTTTTTTGATGGACAAAATTGAGGTTGTCTGCAGTTTATAGAATGTCTGGGGAGGGAAGGAGTGGGAATAGGACAGTATAACTTACTGTCCAGTATTTTCATTAATAATGTTAAAACTATCATCCATAACTATTTAAATTGTCATTAATTATATATCATAGGCGTTTCACTGGAAATAACATGTCCATAAGAGAAAAATTACATATTCCATTCTATGGGAGGCACACGAAAAATAATACTCAAAACTCAGGGAGGTATGAATTTTTAGACATTTCCTCTTATGCTAAACTGGCTATAGGATCTTGTTCCACTTCTTGCAATTAAGAGGATAGCATTGCTTATTATTCTGCATTTTCTTTCTACCAGAAGAACTAACACTGTTCTAGAAATATCAAGCAGTGGGCCAGTTCAACAGTCTCAACATTTGTCTCTAACGTATTTCTCCAAATTTTCTATATGATACAGAGACTGGCTAATAGGACACTGCAAAACTTTTGGAAAAAATTTTGTATAGGTTAACTTCTGTTACTTTGGAAACCCTATATAGGTAGCTAATAATTAAAGTAAAAAAGTGTAATGAGTATGAGGATTCTGCTTTATTGCTTCCTCCTTACTGTGACCAGTCTGGAGATCAAATTGGAGCACATTGAACTTGACCAGAAATAAAAAAAAAATAAAATTAGCTGTAAAATATTGAAGTATCATTCAGAAAATTGAGTGTTTTAAAGTTGATAGACTATCTTTGCTTTTCATAAGTTACAGCATTCTGGTCTTAGTTAAGATCTGGGAAACAGGATCATATAGTTCTAATTCCAGTATTGTTTTAAAAATAATCTCTAATTTTGCTCAAAGTCGCATTGCCTATGTACATGTATTTCCACATTCATTCAATTGGGATAATACCTACTTACATACCTTCAAGGATTTTATGAAAATTATAAATATTAGTAAAGCACAGTATTGAAGTGCTGCTGAATCTTCAAAATAGATGGGATGAACAAGAATATAAGTCTCTTTATACAGCAATGTCTTAATTGTTTTTTACCTTTTTTCTTTTTTTTTTTTTTCTAGCTTTCAGGATTTTATACTGTAACATGGTCCTTAACAAAAACCAAAACCAAACCCAGATCCTGCTTTCTTTTCTGTTTGTCACTTTGCTTAAAGTTGCAAACTTGGATTGTTAAAACTGCAATGATAGCTGCTGGTGTTTTTCTTAACCTTTTAAATACTAGTTTTATTGCTTGCAGAGAAATGGATGCTGCAAGGACACCTCTAAGTGAAGCAGAATTTGAAGAAATCATGAATAGAAATAGGGCGATCTCAAGCAGTGCCATTTCGAGAGCTGTATCGGATGCCAGTGCTGGTTAGTAAAACTCAATTAATGTGTTTGCTATTCTACCCCACTGAAAAGAGTTTATAGCTTTTCTATTAGGAAACTGGCAGCCCTGCAGCCACATTTTGCTAATAGGAGGCTGAATTTAGGTACAACATATGACTGATTTTGTACTGTGCTCCAGTTAGTTTCTGAGAATGCCTTCTGAGTACTGATCTGGACAGTATTTTAATATTTGGTTCTACAGTAAATGATCTGGATGGCTGTTGAAGAGAAGATACTCATAATGGTAATACTATCACAGATAAAAATGTTTGATTTAATTTGTATAGTTTTCTGATCATGATCTTGTATCATTTTCAGGGGACTATGGAAGTGCTATAGAGACCTTGGTAACTGCCATTTCCTTAATTAAACAGTCCAAAGTATCTGCGGATGATCGCTGTAAAGTTCTTATTAGCTCTCTTCAGGACTGCCTTCATGGAATTGAGTCCAAGTCTTATGGTTCTGGATCCAGGTAAAACTTTCCTCTTCCATCTGCCCTTACTTACAAAAGGGAAGGTGTAGCACAGGACTAGTTCTCGGAGAAGAAACTAAGTTATGTAAGAAGCATAGTGATTTGCTGAGTTGCACAAGAAATCTGTGAAAGAACCAAACAGGGGTTTCCAGAACTTAGCTGCCTTTTAATTAACCCTCTTTTCAAAACTGATCTGACTAGCTTAAATTGAACTCTTAGTTTCAGTTAGTATCCTTTCCTACACGGTACTCTTGCAATGTGTAAACTTCAAAATAGAATTATCCTTTATCAATTAAGATGTCCAGTGCATAATTTTTATTAGAATTCGCTATTGAAAATTAAGACTGAGGATATTTGATGCCAGTTTTCATTTTGCTTAAAAGTAATCTTCTCCACGCTTGTCACAGTAGAAGTACACTCAAGTTGCGGAAAAAAAAGTTGGTCAGAATGATTTTGCCTGTTGTCGTTTGTCATACAATCTAAAAATCGAGAGTAGGTAGATTTAAAATTCATGGACTCTTCTACCTAGTACAAGTAAGAGATTGGTATTTCTTTCAAAGCTTAAATAATGCCCCTTTCAGTGTTAGGACAAACACTGAGCCTCTAGTTCATTTGGATATTGTAGCAGTAGTGTAGTTGGCCTTGAATATTAAAAGCACAGACAGCTGGTTTTGGCACATGCTTTCAGTACGCAGATTAGCAGCCATGTTGTAGTGATAGTTTGAGGTATGGTGCATTCCCCTGGCTGATTTCAGCCATATCATCCTCCATTCTGAGCATGCACTCTCTGACTTGATAGATTAGAAAGTGGATACACCTTATTATCTGTAACTGAGTTCTTAGCCACCACCTTTATACCAGCTTTCATGTTATATACAAAAACATATCTGCATCACAGTGAACAGATAGTTCTCTCATACCCCTTTTTGATTAAATTCGGCATGGGGATGGCTTGTATTTTGAAGAAAAATTTAATGAAGTAATTTCTTTTAGAAGACGTGAGCGATCCAGAGAGAGGGACCACAGTAGGTCACGAGAAAAAAGTAGGCGCCACAAATCACGTAGTAGAGATCGTCATGATGACTATTACCGGGAAAGAAGCCGTGAAAGAGAGAGGCATCGTGATCGTGACAGAGATCGCGATAGAGAACGAGACAGAGAGAGAGAATATCGTCATCGTTAAAGAAGGTGAGTGTTTCATGTTCTTGAACTTTACTGTTACTGACTTACTAAAAGTAACTACTCTAGGTTTGGGATTATTTACACCATTAATGTCTGCATTTAAGTGATCCTGCAGTATGTACTGAATCACTTTCTTCTTGCAGCATCTGACATGGACATAGGTAAGTAACAACAGGTAACTGGTCTTGGGAGGGAGGGAGTATTTGTGTGACTATCTTCTGCAGTTTGCATGCTGCCTTTTTAATTTTAGGTGGTATTAATGTTTGTGTTTTTTATGAAATGTGATTGAACCAATTCTTAAAAAAGCAGTAAGCCAGACTGGTAAGTCTGCTCTCTGTAATCTTAGAAGATTATATGAAATTTATGGTTGTATTTCTTACTTGTATTTTAAAATATTAATTGTGTTTTAAAATCTCTTTGTGTAAGGACTGCAGCATTTAGCCCTGCATATGTCATGTGTGGATTATTTCAGTTTAGGGAACACATGTATATACAGTTGCTGTCCTTGCACAAGTATGGCGGTGGGGTTTTTTGGGTTTTGGTTTGGGTTTTTGTGTTGGTTTTTTTCCCAGTGAGTTTTACTCAAATTAAGGAAATATAGCCAGACTTTGCTCTTTATTTTATGACATGTGACCTGTCAGTATCTTCTGCCTTATAGCTAAATTCAGGTGTTATCTTCAATAAGATTTATGATCAGTTGTTCCCTACCACCCTGATTTTTCATTCCCTCCCCTCTTTGACAGTAAAGTAGTTTTATGAAGACTAGTAAACAAATGTGTGACACAAGGATTGTTTCTTTTCTGGTTGTTCACAAACTAATGTGTTCTTTTATCTAGTATATCCACAGTCTTGCATGCATCAAATCTCTAGATAGCTACAGAGTAGCATGCTAAATAATGCTTTTTTCAGTGTGCTGCTGAGAGCTTTAAAATACATAGAAATGTTCATCACATTATATAATGTACCATTTTGAGGATTGGGAATTCAAGCTGCCCATGATTCCTTACATTTGACAATTGGAAAAACCCCTACCTATTCTTTTGTCTGCAGTGGTCTTTTCCCTTTTTAGAAGAACTTCCCACTACATCTACACTAAAATTGAAGCTTGCAGACTTTCCTGTCTGCCCAACTTTCATTTCTTATATTTACCCTCAGGTTTAGTTTCCGGATTTGCATGTGGTATTTATTCATGGAAGTTCATTTAGAGAAGCTAAATGGAGCAAAAGCTTTTAGAAATCATATAAAATGTAGTATAGTCTGAAGTGAAAATATAATTTTGTATTAGTTAAATGTCAGTTTTTCAGTCAAGTTTTTGTGTGACTGACTCCTTTGGGAGAGAACAAACATACTAAATGCTGTAGTCTATTGAGTATTAAATGGGTTGTTGTCTTGGGTTCACATACTAACAGGGGACACACAAAGCAGTAACTGACCTAGAGAAGGGGAGTCAAAGGCTTAAATAGGAAGGTGAGATGTGGCAGCTGAAATTAATTTGGCAGTATATATCTGTTAATGCCACTTTTTGTCATAAAAAATGGATTGGTAGAAATATTTCTGGAATTGCATAAAAATAGCAACTGTGGTTCTTAACTGTAAAATATCAGAGCATAAAAATACAGATTTAACAAAAGTAAATGTAGTTTCTTTTGTTGAACTGGATTTTTACTTTTTGTCATAAATGAGTATTTGTGATATTTGCAAATAGCTGTTACTAATAGGAGGTAACCATTGAGATGAGCGATGGATGCATTTCCAGAGCGTTTTCCTTCTGGTGGAGATAAGCAAGCCATACTAAAAATTGTTAATAACCTGGAATTTAAGATATTTATTTTTTTTACCCTTGGCATACTTTATTAATCTAGCTTTAATTTTTGTGTATTTAGTGTTGTGCATGTAGATACAGAGTATCTGTGCCAAGTACAGATTCCGTACCCTGTCACCCCAAGAAAACATACCAAATAGCATTAGGTTGCATTTTATAATTTCCAAAGCACAGTTTTAAAATGAGACTGTGGTTTCAGTCTTGTTCAGGTGGGATTTATATATGCAACATCCTTCAACTTTGTTGTATGCTGGGACTTCTCTTGTCTTTCAGAAGAGTTGTGTAGGTAAGGTTCCCTTGTGCAAAGAAGAAAATAGGTCCCAAGAACTTGATATAAAGGGCAAATTTAGTATTCTGCATGTAAATGAAAGCATTTGGTATTTTTTTTAAAGTTAAGTTGTAAACATTTTGTCTTGTTGCTGTCTTAATGAAGAAGAGCTTTATTGTAGTTTTGGTTTTATATATTTATACACACACACCTATATAAAGGAAATAGAGTTATCTCCTGGTTTGTATGTTTCATTTTCACTAAGATGTATGTTGCCATACATTTTTTTGTTTCGTTCTTTACATTGATTAATATTCATAAACGGATTTAACAGTCTCAGTCATTTAATAAATATCAGCAGTGCTGAAAAGAGCTACTCCCCATATTACTGTGTTTTGCCAGATAACATGAAGTTGCCTCTGTGCCTGCACCCTATGAATGGCACCTATACTTCTCCTTATTGTGTACCTATAGTCATAACTGTGATACTGTACTGGCATTTTTTTTAAAGTGTTGCACATCTAGTTTAGAAGGATTTTAAAGGTCCATTGTGAACATTTTTGTATACAGTGAAATTCAGTTTGTACTGTATTACATTTATAGAGATAACTTACTAAATGTGTTTATAATAATAAAACTCTATTAAATAAAGTTTAGATGTACCATAGTAGGTATTTACACTTCTGTTTGTACACTTCATGATGTAAAATTAAATTCTTGCAAGATTTTTGTGCCTTTGCTTGAGTAAGGTTTTAAGTACATCGATAATCCATTCTACAGAATTACTATAAACTGAGTGTTTCCTTGAAACATCTTGCCTTTGCTTGTAGAAAGCCTATAGATATAAAAGAGAACAATGGATTTAAGACAAATGTCTAACCTGTATTAGTCAAGAAAACTAAGAATCCAACAAAATGACATTTAGAAGGATTAAAAGCAAAATTAGTGTACAAACAGAATAGTAATGTAAATTCATCAGCATGAGTCCTGACTTTTTTTAGACAGAATTTTATTTTTTTAGTTTAACTGATACTCAATGATGTATTTCTAGCTGATACATTGTCCCAATCTTAATCTGTCTGAATTTCTATAACTGCTGAATGTTAAATTTTTCATTTTATGTTTTTGTTATTGGATTGATTGATTATTTCCTATTTAAACTGGATTTGGACTGAATTGCAAAGACAAAACCATAGCATTGTAACAGTTGATATGTATGTAGACTTTGTACTCCATATTTCATGTTTTTTCTCTGATTTTTCTGCTCTCAAACCACTGTAAGCAAAATAATTTGAAGTTGGAGGCTCACATGCTTCAAAAACTGCTCTCAGCTTTCTCTGAAATAGTTTCAGCTTTGGAGTGATCTATCTAAGAACTAACATGGTTGAATTTTTTTTGGTGTCAGTAGGAGGGGAAATGGTACTGGTAGTTCAAGTAAGATTCATTATATTTTGCTTGTATAAGTAGGAACTCTCCTGTAACAGTGTGTTAGCAACCACTTAAACATCAAGTGAAGTATGAAATTAGCCTTTTAAGAAACCTTGTTAATTAATAAGAAAAATGTCTATTTTTGTAAGTTACTTTAATAATGAGCTTCTAGGTAATACTGGAATTTCAAGTGAATCATGTGGTAGCATTGTTCAAGACCTGGGTATATGTACCTGTCTAGGATTATTTCAGATCTTCTTAGTATTAAGCTATTATGAACCTTATCTACCTAATCTCTCTTTTTTAAAGTGTGTATTTTTGAGGAAGCACATATGTGGGGCTGGCACTATTCTACTGTATCTAGCATTCATCAGAAAAATAATGATTTCTGCATCTGATTCAGTATTTGAAATCCACCATAGAGTGAAAGAGGCAAGCAGTGCCACTGTTTTATGTGCTTCTTAAAGTATTTTATGGCTACTCTGGTGCTTTATAGAAACATATAGCTTGTTTCTTAATGTTTAGTGTTTTCTCATTTTCTTGAGGGTGGTAAGATGGTTTGAAAAACAAACTGAAAATCTTATGCTATTGTTTATTTTCAAATGCATAACTGCATAACTTCGATTAATTTTTTTCCATGAACATGTTGCTGGAATTTTGTTGTCCTCTGAGGCGTCTTTAGAAACGCTTGTATTTTCGTGTTCCCCACATCCTGTGCTTTTTTCTTTTGTTTGTGAAATCAGTAGTTTTGACAAATTTGAGCTTGTGAAAGTTCCCCAAGAAACTTTAAAGCTTTGTAGTATTTGAAACATAAAGAAGTTACTTGCAAGTGAAAATGTTGGTTTGATGCAGTGTTCTCCAAAGAATGAAAAAATTCCGTTTTTTCGTTTTGCTCATTGTGGTTTGAGAACTAAGATTTCTTTTTACAAAAAAGAAAAAGAGAGAGAGAGAAATGAGAGATCTTCATTTTTATGTTTTCCTGTGGCAGCCTGATCTACCTTTTTATGTCTTCCTCATATATTAATGTGAAAGCCTTGCCAATAATTCACATCTTTTTAATTTGTAAACTAAAGATTGAGTTTTCTGAACACACTCCTCTGTTCATCAGTTATTTTTGGTGAATAGACAGGCAAGGATAGTAGGGGAAAGACATACAATGAATGAAACTAGTTTGGGACCATTCTTCTTCTTCCCATGTAAAATTATTTATAAAATCAGGAAATTGTTCTAGTGTTGATATTAAATTATACACTAAGATTGAACAAAGATGCCAGGTAAGTACATTAATTGGGGGGGGGGGGGGGTTGGACA